GGGTGCTTACCACTAGAGCAACCCTCTCTTGTCAAGACTTTTAAGTAATAAATGAGATAAATTTTACCCGACAAGGGTGAGATTTTTCACTAGGTGTTCTGACAATGATGAATGATGATAAGCAGTTGAATATTTGATTCTTCTTGGATCGGGAGAGAAAGGTCCAAGAAAAGTAGTGTAAAGTTATGCTTTGTATTTATTCAATAAGAGATAATCTTCCACAAAGAATGTCAATGATATTCTTTACAAAAATGTTCGATCTTCTTTTTGGAACTACATCTCTTCTTATTTTTAAGAGTACATGAGTCACAAAACCCTAGATAGTACAACAGAGAAGAATATCAATAAGAATATTCTCTAGACAATCTAAATCCTTAAACTAGCCGTTACTTCGTACCGAAGACGAATGTTCGTCCTCGCCTTCGTCTTCCGTTAAACCACCTCGACCTCAATGACGAGTTATCCTTTTCACATGACCTCGACCTTTTGGAGTCAGGTCGACACGTCATAGCGTCCATACATCACAACCTTCAAAGACTTTATCGCTGTTGACCAGATCAAATGCATGACATTGAAAGTTTTCGCCATATAAACTCGTGTTTAGTAAAATATCCTTATATAAAACTGAAAGAAAAAATGAGTATTTAAATAAGGTGAAAATAGTGTCGCCGACGAACAATAACTTTAAAAATAAATAAATAAATTGGGTCAAAATCCGTGGGAAACTCGCGGAGGAGACACGTTACACGTAGGAGAACCTGCCGGCAAAATAATTAGTACCCCTCATGGGACCCACTACAGGCCACGTAAGCGGGGCTTTAGTAATTTCTATTTATCATTTTATTGGGCATTTAGGGTGTCTTTGGCAAGTAGAAAAATATTTTTTAATTTTCTAATATTTGATTGACTTAAATATTTTGAAAAATATTTTTCTTATGAACTCATTTCCTTTCAATTGGAGAAAAATATTTTCCTTATTAAGAGAAGGAAAAATATTTTTCAAAACTCTTTTTTAACCTTTCCGCATTCCCCAAAAAGAATACTTTCTTTACATGATGTAAAAAAAATATTTTCTTTCATTTCAACAAAATGAGTATTTTATTTTCATGATGTAAAAAAAATATTTTCTTTCATTTCAACAAAATGAGTATTTTATTTTCATGATGTAAAAAAAATATTTTCTTTCATTTCAACAAAATGAGTATTTTGTTTTCATGATTTAAAAAAGTATTTTTTTTCTATTCAATAAAATGAGTGCTTTATTTTCATGTTGTAGAAAATAGTACTTTCTTTTCAACCAAAAAAGTATTTTTTTAGTTATGGAGTACAAATTGCAACGTTATTTTTACGTAAAAAAGTAAAGTAACACATTAGTTCCTTTGAGTTTGTGCGAATTTTTAGAAGAATAATTAAATTTTTGAAAAAAATAGAGTCATGAAAATGTTGGGTATTTGGTGGGGGGAGGGGGGAGGGAAGGGGAAGGAGAGCACAAGAAACATAGGGACTTGGGGGAAGAGGGTGAGGAGAGTAGCAGAAAAAATTATTTTCCTAAAAAATATTTTCTACTCTCTAACCAAACACTAGAAAATATTTTCTGGAAAAAAGTTTTCCCTCACCAATCAAACAAAGGAAAATAAGTGATAAAATCATTCATTTTCCATAAAAATATTTTCTAGGAAAACATTTCCATGAAAAATATTTTCTTTCGTACCAAACACACCCTTAGTTTAGGAAAATAACACAAGCGAGAAAGGAAATAACTAACAAAGATTATGAAGGAGAGTTTTAAGAAAAATTGCTTCATTTTCTTTGCTAGTTTTGAAAATTTGAAAGAACATGAAAAGAAAGAAAATATGTATACCTTTTTTCTTATTCACATTTAACGTCATATATGGATAAACTAAACTAAAATTGAGATAAAATCTAGATTTGATGTTGGGTTTTATTTTATAAAAAAATGGTTTACTAAAAGTGGATTAATACATAAACATTCCAAATCAATTAGATAATTAAAGTGTCTCTTTCAATAGATCTCTTCTGCTACTTCCGTGACACTCACAAAGGAGCAGCCTAAGGTAAAATAACCCCAAAAGAAGAACCCCCCCC